GCATCAGCAGTTCCTACTATCTCCATAATGCTGGATAATATCTGTCAGGCAGATTGCTAGAATCCATTGTCTTGGAAGGCACTTCACATTTTTAATGCAATCAGGCAGCATCAACACAGGTTATTGAAACGTAATCATATTTCATTAATTCATTAGATTTGTTTAAGGAAGTAATATGCAATGTGAATAATGGGGAGCCTGCAAATGTGGTGTACTTGGATTTGCAAAAAAGGCACGTGATAAGGTGCCATATCAAACGTTACTATTCAAGAGTTCATGCTGTAGGGGATAAGATATCAACATGGATAAAGGATTGGTTAGCTGATAGGAAGCAGAGGAGGGATAAATGAGTCATTTTTCAGTTATCGAACTGTAACTAGTAGAATGCCACAGTGATCAGTGCTAGGAGTCAATGACTTGGATAAAGGAAGCCAATGTATGAATGCTAAATTTGCTGATAACACAAGTTATGTAGGAGATTAAAGTGTGAAGAAAACATGAATCTGCAAGTGGTTAGACTGCAGGATCTCCTGCCTGAAAGTTTGATGGAGGCAGCCTCAATCAAGGGTAATTGGTTAATTACTTGAAGAGAAAATATTTAGAGACAGCCAAAGGAAAAACACGGTGAGTGAGACTAGTTGAGTTACCCTTGCAGAGAGCTGGCATGGTGGCCTGCTTCTGTGTTGTACCCATTCTAATAATCTAATATACAGCTAGTTTAAATGGGTGGGTAAAAATTTGGCAGATGGAGTACCACGTGGGGAAATGTAATTTTGTCATCTTTGGCAAGAACAATACTCAAGCAGTATCTAATTTAATGAGAGATATTATAGGACTCTGCAAAACAGTGGGATCCAGGGTGTCCCGAATCTCTCAAAACAAGCATCCGGCTGCAGCAAGTGATTAAGAATACAAACGGAGTGTTGTAATGTATTGCATGGTGACAATGGTTGTTAGACTATAAAGGTTAAATAGTTATTTTTCTTTTAACAGTAAGCCAATTACTCAATGAACTTTGTACCAGGTGAACCAAATTTGTAGGTGAACATTGTACAACCAGAATAAGTGTCAAGCAAACATTTCAGAGAGGCCTCGGAGTCAGACTGGATTTAGAGACAAGGATGAAAGGTAAATACTTATAAGGAATGGGACAAAACAATATCAGGCTAGGATAAGATTAACCAATCCTCAACTGCACAAATAAGGAATTCAATGACGTAGAATGAACACAAAATAAAACAAAGAACTATGGTTCCTGGAGGTCTGAAACAAACAAAAACAGAAATTGTTTGAGAAACTTAGGTCTGGCAGCATCTGTGAAGCGAAAACAGCATTAACATTTCAAGTCACTGAAAGGGTCACTGGGCATGAAACACTAAGTTTTCTCTCCACAATATTGCCAGTTCCATGGAGTTTCTCCAGAAATTTGTTTTTGTTTGACTTAGAATGAACACTTGTTTTCTATGTCCGTATGAAATGGGACTGGAATTTGGATAAAGAGGTGCTTACGTGACCAAAATATTGTAAGGATATTTTCTATATTTCTAAGACTTTATTCTAGTTAGACTAGAGCAATACTGTCCATGTATTCCATTTGAATAACAATCATAAACCTGTACTCAGTCTCCAGAGGTTAATTATTAGGAGTTAAGGGATTAGAATATAAAAGTGGTGAAGTTTACAGTTTGTGCAGTGTGTTGATGAGGCCATATCTGGACTAATGTGTAAAGTGTTTAATTCATTCAGGGGATGAGGGTGTCACAGGCTAGGAGAGCATTTATTGCCCATCCCTCATTGCCCAGAGGGCAGTTAAGAGTCAGCCATATTGCTGTGGCTTGGACTCGCATGTAGGCTGAACAAGGTAAAGATGGCAGTTTTGGTTCCTTACTTTTGATCCAAAGTTTTGGTCTCCTTGCATAGGAATGTGAAGTTTCCTTTTACTGATTCCTGGGATGAAGTGGTTATCTTATGAGGAATATGTGGACAGGTTGGCCGCATTGCTGTTAGAGTATAGAAGAATAGAGGTGATCTTATTGAAACATAAGAATCTGAGGAAACTCAACAAGTCAGATGCAGCAAGGGTGTTTTCCGTAATGGCAAAGACTAGAACTAGGGGACAGCATTTAAAAATTAAGGATCTACCATTTAACACAGAGATGAAGAGGTCTTTTTTTTTAACCTCGGATAATCATTAGTCTATGTCTATGTAAACTGTCTTCCCCATAAAGCAGTGGAGATAGGGTCATTGAATATGTTTAAGTTCAAATTTCTAGATTGTTGATTGACAAGGAAGTCACAAAATATATTTTGCTTTGAAGGCTTCATTTGAAATTTTCTCAAGTGTTACTTTTTGATTTTTAGGCACAGGTTTTTGGATTTTCAAGGGCTCCATTTTCATTCTCACTCGCTCCTTCATTAGGTGATGCAGCAACATAGTAACAGTACTTCTGTATTTGTGTTGACATTTGGACTTGAACAGAGGCAGAATTAATATCCCCAATAACAACTTGCTCCATTAAAGCTAAAACCACAACACACAAGAGCACTAGTTTCCTAGGCACGACTTTAAATTGGCACAGTCAACAGCTATAAGTTAGTAACAAATATTTTGCTTATAAAATAACTGAGCACTTTTTTATACAAAAAGCCATCACATTAAAATACAATCTGTGGACTGATGAGATCACAGCTAAATAATTGCATGTTTGACTCGAATACAGTCACCGAGTCTCAAGTAATTCATAGAATGTAAGATGCTTTGACAGTGTTTGATAATGTTCCGCATGGTAGACTGGTTAACAAGGTTCAATCACATGGACTACAGGGAGAACTATCCACTTGGAAACAGAAGTGCCTCGAAGGTAGAAGACAGAGGATAGTGGTGGAGGGTTGCTTTTCAGATTGGAGGCCTGTGGCCAGCGGTGTGCCAGAGGGATCGGTGCTGGGTCCACTGCTTTTTGTCATTTATATAAATGACTGGCATGTAAACATAGGAGGTATGGTTAATAAGTTTGCAGATGACACCAAAATTGGTGGTGTCGTGGACAACAAAGGAGGTTACCTCAGTGTACAACGGGACCTTGATCAGATGGGCCAATGGGCCGAGGAGTGGCAGTTCGCTTTTAATTTAGATAAATGTGAGATGCTGCATTTTGGAAAGGCAAATCAGGACAGGACTTGTACACTTAATGGCAAGGTCATGGCGAGTATTGTTGAACAAAAACTTGGAGTGCAGGTCCATAATTCCTTGAAAGTAGAGTCTCAGATAGACAGGATAGCGAAAGTGGCATTTGGTATGCCTGCCTTTATTGGTTAGTGCACTGAGTAGAGGAGTTGGGAGATCATGTTGCAGCTGTACAGGACATTGGTCAGGCCACTTTTGGAATACTGCATTCAATTCTGGTCTCCCTGCTATAGGAAGGACATTGTGTAACCTGAAAGGGTTCAGAAAAGATTTACAAGGATGTTGCCAGGGTTGGAGGGTTTGAGCTATCGGGAAAGGCTGAATAGGCTGGGGCTATTTTCTCTAGAGCGTTGGACACTGAGGTGTGACCTTATAAGAGGTTTATAAAATCATGAGGGGCATGGATAGGGTAAATAGCCAAGGTGTTTTCCCTGGGGTGGGGCAGTCCAAAACTTGTGGGCATAGGTTTAAGGTGAGAGGGGTAAGATTTAAAAGGGACGTTAGGGGCAACCATTTCATGCAAAGGGTGGCGGAACAAGCTGCCAGAGGAATTAGTGAAGGCAGGTGCAATTACAACATTTAAAAGACACTTGAATGGGTGTATGAATTGGAAGGGTTTAGAGGGATATGGGCCAAATGCTGGCAAATGGGACTTTAATTTAGAGAGAAATGAGATTAATTTAGGATTTCTGGTCAGCGTGGACGAGTTGAACCAAAGGATCTGCTTCTATGTTGTACAGCTCTATAACTCTGTGGTAAAACATGGTTACAAATCTTTATGAAGTAAAACTTTTCACTATAAAGTTATCCAATTGATAGAGTTTATTACAAGTAGCAGCCATTACATTTGCCCTCCATATGGTACCTTCTAAGTAACTGCTACCTTGATATAGAGACTCCACAATCATTTGCAAGGAATTCATTCCCTCAGTTTTCCTGATTCCAAGTTAGGTGAGTGATCCTGTGTTTAAAAATGCTAACTTCCATTTGCAGCCCCTCTCTCCACTTTGCAGAGCCTGATCCCTTATTCAATCCTGGCTTCCCTTTGCAGATCCCTCTCTCCCTTTTCCAATCTCACTCTCCCACTTCATAAACCCTCTTCCTCCTTTGTACTACTTCTTTACCCTACTACAGCCCTTCTGTTCTCTTTGCAGCCTCTCTCCTCAATTTGCAGTCTCAGTTCCCCCAGCCTTCTGGCATTGCTCCCCAAGACCAAATCTCATCAGCCTGGATTCCCCCATGCCTTACTATCCCCCAGTCTACCAGCTTTGCTACCCCTGGCCTTGGTGACTGCAGCCATTCACTGCTCTCAAATCAGCTTCCACTTCTCTCTCGCATTTGGTTCTCACTATGAGCCTATGATTGGAGCACAGCTACTCAGATTCTGACAGTTCTATTTTCAGGCTTCCCTTCAATTTTCTTGTGTGTTTTGGGTACTTGCAGGGGTGAATTCATCTGCCACCCCATATATTTCGAATGTTGGTAGACAGAAAAGGCATTGCTTTGAGGCTAGAATCAGATCAGCCGTGATCTTACCAAATGGCTTAACGGGGCAAATATTTCTGCTTCTACATCTGCTCCTAAATCATGTGTTCATGTCTTAACTGTCTGAGTTATTTAGGGCCCAAAATACATAAATTTTTAAGATTGGATGGTACATTTTTGAAGTTAGGTTGAGCTATATTGTTGAAATAGTGTAGAGTTTCAGCATCTTTTGATCAAAAATTACACCCAATTGCGCTGAAAAATTAAATTTGGCTACTTTTATCCCCCCAAATAGTCATACCTCGCACACAGTCTCCTTTGAATTTTGCAGAAATCTAAGATTTCAACCTATGAGAAAATGTGGGCATTCATGAACAGTCGGAAGCAGACAGCTTTGTTGAAGAACAATGAAGAAGGGATTCAACGTGTTCTCACCACTGACTATGCTCTCCTAATGGAGTCAACCAGTATTGAATATGTTACTCAGCGAAACTGCAACCTGACCCAGATTGGTGGCCTCATTGACTCAAAGGGTTATGGTGTTGGAACACCAATAGGTATAACAGTGATTTAATCTTTTTAATTATCATCTGGTTATAAGTATTGGTCAGAAATGTCACTTTTTGGAATCGTTACCTGGCTTTTTTGTGAGCAGTACTGTTGGAGGTCAGGCATCTCATTGCCATTTAATTTTGGGAAGACTGCAATATTTTAGGCAACAGAATATAAATAAGCAAAAGGAACCAACTATCATTTAAATAATGCAAAAACCCTTTCCAAATTTGATTTTTCTTTGACATCAGAAATTTATTTTGCCTGAGCTGCCCTATTGCTCTATTCAACAGAATGTAGCTCCTTCATGATGAATTCATATCCACTGCTGAAGCCTCCCTTGCATTCTCTGTCTCACATGCCCCATGGTTAGCTATAATTCTTATCATACATTGTCATTTCAGTGCATGCAGAATCTTCCTTTAGGTTCGGGAGCAAATTACTGCAGATGCTGGAACCTGCACTGAAACAACACATGCTGGAGATCACAACGGGTCAGGCAGCATCCATGGAGGTAAAGCAAGCTAACGTTTCAGGTCTAGATGACTCTTCATCAGAACTGAAGTGCAGAGTGGAGGGGACTGCATTTATGCTATAGTTGGTGGGTGTGGGAGTGGTGGTGTATAGAGTACTGGAGGAGAAAAGATGCTGATAGTTCAGATTAAGTGATCCAAATATGAGAATGGCAAAACAATGGTGTATCTAACTGCTAGACTTGAAAGAACAGGCAGTCCCACTGGGGTGGTGGGAGGGAAGAGAGGACATGGTGACAGAGAATGTAAAGCTAAAAGACTGGGAAGAACTGGGAGCTGGTTCACAATTTGAAGGTGTTGAACTCAATATTAAGTCCAGAAGACTGTAATGTGCCCAGTCTGAAAATGAGATGTTGTTCCTTCAGTTTGCACTGTGATTCACTGCAACACTGCAGCATACCGAGGACAGACAAATGAGGTATGCAAGCAGGACCTGGTGTTAGTGACTGGTTATGGGAAGGTCAGGATCATCCATTTTGGTAGGAATAACAGCAAAATGGACTATGTTTTAAATGGTAAAAAATTGCAGCACACTGCTGTGCAGAGGGACTTGGATGTCCTTGTGCATGAATCGCTAAAAGTAGGATTGCAGGTGCAGCAGGTAATTAAAAAGGCAAGTGGAATTTTGTCTGCCATTGCTAGAGGGATGGAGTTTAAAAACAGGGAAGCTATGCTGCAGCTGTATAGGGTCCTGGTGGGGCCACACCTGGAGTACTGTGTGCAGTTTTGGTCTCTTTAATTGAGAAGAGATACACTAGCACTGGAGGGAGTGCAGAGGAAATTCACTTGGTTGATTCCAGAGTTGAGAGTGTTGGATTATGAGGAGAGACTGAGTAGACTGGGATTATACTCATTGGAATTCAGAAGAATGAGGGGAGATCTTATAGAAACATACAAGATTATGAAGGGAATAGATAAGGTGGAGGCAGGTGAAACTAAGACTAGAGAGCATCGCCTCAAAATAAAGGGAATCAGATGTAGGACTGAGGTCAGGAGGAACTTCTTCACCCAAATGGTTGTGAATCTGTGGAATTCTCTGCCCAGTGAAGCGGTTGAAGCTACCTCGCTGAATGTTTTTAAGGCAAGGCGAGATAAATTTTTGAACAGTAAAGGAATTAAGGGTTATGGTGAGTGGGCGGGTAAGTGGAGCTGAGTCTCAAAAAGATCAGCCATGATCTTATTAAATGGCGGGGCAGGCTCGAGGGGCCAGATGGCCTAATCCTGCTCCAAGTTCTTATGTTCTTATGCTTGCGCACAGACCAGAGGTGTTCTGCAAAGTGGTCATCCAGTCTGTGTTGAGTTTCTCCAATGTAGGATTTACCACATTGGGTGCAGTGAAAACAATACACAAGACTGGAGGAGGTACAGGTAAAATGCTGCTTCACCTGGAAAGACTGATTAAGACCCTGGATGGTGAGCAGGGAAGTGGTGAAGGAGCAGGTATTGCACCTTCTGCAATTACATGGGAAGGGGGAGTGGTGTTAATGGTCAATGAATGGACTAGGGTGCAGATAGGGGGAGTGAGGGGAAGATGTTTGATGGTGGCATTCTGCTGGAGTTGTCTGAAAATGATCCTTTGAATGTGAAGGCTGGTAGGATGAATAGTGAGGACAAGGGGGACCCGATCATGCTGTTGAGAGTGATGGGAAGGGGCAAGGATGGAAGATAGGTCGGATGCGCTTGAGGGTCCTGTCAACTACACTTTTGGCAGAAGCAAGCCATGGCAGCAGCGCTGTTTTGGAAGGTGGTATCATGCAAACAAATGCATGTAGGCAAAGAAACTGGGTGAATGGGATGGAGTCCTTGCAGGATGTGTGGCGTGGGAAGAGCTGTAGTGAAGGTAGCTGTGGGAGTCAGTGGCTTTGTAGTGGATGGCAGTGGACAGTTTATTCCCCGAAATGGAGACAGAGAGGTCAAGGAAAGGAAGGGAAGTGTCAGAAATGGACGAGGTGAAAGTTATAGAGGGGGGGAAATTGGAGGGAAAATGAACAAATTTTTCAAGGTACTGGTGGGAACATGAAACAGCACCGATGCAGTCGTCGATGTATTGAGAAGAGAACTGTGAGAGGCAGGACCAGTGTAGGACTGTAACAAGGATTGTTCCACATACCCCATAAAGTGGCAGGCACAACTGGGACACATGCAGATGCCCATAGCCAGCCCTTTGACTTGGCAGAAGTGAGTTAAAGGAGAAATTGTTCAGTTAGAGTGGAAGTTCAGCCAGGCAGAGGAGGGTAGAGGTGGATGGGGAGTATTCAGGCCTCTGTTTGAGGAAGAAGCTGACAGCTCACAGACCATCCTATTGGGGAATGGAAGTACAGAGTGATTGGAAATCCATAGTGAACAGGAGGCAGTTAGGGCCAGGGAACTGGCAATTGTCAATACGGTGGAGGGCATCAGAGGAATTGCAGATGTAAGTGGGCAGAGTGAACCTTTAGGTTCATTGTGTTAATTCTTTGATAAATTGATAATACCAGTTACTCAAGACAGATATATTCCAGTCATTGCCTGTACATCAGTCTCAAAAAAAATCTACCAAACCCCTACCTTTTACCCAACCTTTGCTCTTACTGCTCAATTTCTAATTTTGACTTCCTCTGATATGATTCTCCAAAGATTAATTGAACAAAAAACGGCTCAGAGTTTTGGATTCTTTTTTGCAGTCTTCCTTCCAGCTCCTCTTCACCATCCATTTTTGTTGGTAGGATTGTATATTCCAATAAAGGAGAGTCAATGTTCATTCTAATGTTCCAAATTCTGCAGTTACCTAAAGTCATTACTATTTTAATCACAAAATCTTTGCTATATATTTATCTCATAAGTTCCATTGTAAGATATATGAATAGGCTTACTTGTTCTGTATTGTCCTCAAGTGTATTTTAAGTAGATGATCTAGGCTAAATGAAGAAAACATTGCTTTTGGCTTAGGGCTCTCCAGAGTGTATTAACGTTGGATTAATATTCATCAACAAATTCTGCTCTTTTTGGTCAATAAAGTCTGTCTTTTAAATTCTTGAACTAAATTTAATGGCTATGACAGTGGCCGCATCCACAAAGCAGGAAGCTAGTGGCAAACACATTGTAATCATTTCAGATTAAATGGCTATCCAGCCGTTACCTGCCCACTGTTGATGGTCTTTATCTAATCGAGTTGACAACCTGATCTCCATCAGCTCCTGAGCAGTCAGAGGGTTGGCAGCTCTTCAGGCTCTGCAGTGATGGTCGCCACTGGTACTTCAATGTGCCTGTGACCTTCCCACCAAAAATAAACAGAGGGTCATAGGAAGGTGAGGGTTTCTCCATTCCACTTCTTCTACCTGATTAAATACTCCCTTTCAACAACTCCAAGGAAGGCTTTACATTCCATCCTTTGGCATTGATGACACTCCCACTGATAGTGGCTCCATCATTTTCTATTTCTCTTTGGAATGTAATTGTGAAACCATGATGTTTATTAATTCTTGCTTTAATTACAAACATTTAGTGAAGTCTGCAGTAAAACTGAATGATTTTGCGAGTAAGCGCAATGTATTTCATCCTACTAATGACTATAAAGAACAGAACCAAGTCAACGTCTAAAGAAATGTATTTAATTGTCAACCTTTTGAATAATTTAACTGAACCTTCTGTTTCAGCATTTGTTTGGAAAATAAATCCACATTGCTACAACTCCAATTTTCTTTAAGGTCAAATCACTCTGATTTGTTTGCAAGTACTAATTATTTTTCCTGGTGGAATTATCCCTTTATGCACAGTCTTCTTTTAATAATAAAGGGATGGATTAAAACATTAATTTCCAAGGGTTCACTGTGACACAACTACTGAAATTTCAGTTATCATTACAAGTCAAAATGGAGTTTAATTACATAAGTCTTCTACAATACATGTTACATTTTATGAAAGGAATTATTATGTCCAGTTGCTCAATGAAAAGAGCAAGGAGCTGAAATAGAGTTGTATCAAAGTGTTAAGTCGGTTAATTTTTGTTTAAAATTTGAATTAAGGGCTGAAGCAGGTCATTGAGTCCTTGACCCTCTCCCATCATTCAATAATGTCATAGCTGGTCTGTTTTTGTTTTGAATTTCACATTCTCACTTACCTCCAATAACCTTTGGTTCCTTTGCCTAACAAAAATCTTTCATTTCTACCTTAAAAACGTTCAAAGATGTATACCCTCTGAGAGAAAAGCATTCTCCTCATCCCTGTCTGTAAAGGTGTCCCCCGATTTCTCCTAGTTCTAGACCGACCCATGAGAGGAAACAGCCTTTCCATATCTACCTTGTCAGGATCTTCTATACCTCGATCAAGTGAACCCTCATGTTTTTAAACTCTAGAAGAAACAAGCCCAATCTGTCCAACCTTTCCTAACAAAGCAATCCACTCATTGCAAATATTAAATTTAGTGAACCTCCTCTGAACTATATCCAATACGTTTACATTCTCAGGAAATAGACCAAAGCTGCACAGTATTC